AGGACAAATGGTAAAAGCAAAGCTATACAGACAAAATCACACACAGAAACATACACATATACACTCACAAAAAGAGGAAAAGAAAAAAAAAAAATATATATATATATATCGTTGCTTCCAAAGCCTACTGCCTCAATTTGGGATGATTTGTTGTCTATTCAGGTATTCCACTGATGCAGGGTACATCAAGTTGACTGTGGAGATTTAATCCGCTGCTCCTGAGGCTGCTGGGAGAGATTTCCCTTTCTCTTCTTTGTTCACACAGCTCCCGGGGTTCAGCTTTGGGTTTGGCCCCGTCTCTGCGTGTAGGTCGCCTGAGGGCTTCTGTTCCCGCCCGGACAGGATGGGGTTAAAGGAGCAGCTGGTTCGGGGGCTCTGGCTGCGGGGAGGGAGGGGTACGGAATGCGGGGCGAGCCTGCGGCGGCAGAGGCCGGCGTGACATTGCAACAGCTTGAGGCGCGCCCTGTTTCTCCCGGGGAAGTTGTCCCTGGATCACAGGACCCTGGCAGTGCCGGGCTGCACAGGATCCCAGGAGGGGAGGTGTGGAGAGTGAACTGTGCTTGCACACGGGCTTCTTGGTGGCTGCAGCAGCAGCAGCTTTAGAGTTTCATGCCCGTCTCTGGTGTCCACGCTGATAGCCGCGGCTCGCACCCGCCTCTGGAGCTCGTTTAGGCGGTGCTCTGAATCCCCTCTCCTCGCACACCACGAAACAATGGTCTCTAGCCTCTTAGGCAGGTACAGACTTTTTCCCGGACTCCCTCCCGGCTAGCCGTGGCGCACTAGCCCCCTTCAGGCTGTGTTCACGCCGCCAACCCCAGCCCTCTCCCTGGGATCCGACCTCTGAAGCCCGAGCCTCAGCTCCCAGCCCCTGCCCGCCCCGGCGGGTGGGCAGAGAAGCCTCTCGGGCTGGTGAGTGCCAGTCGGCACCAGTTCTCTGTGCGGGAATCTCTCCGCTTTGCCCTCCGCACCCCTGTTGCTGTGCTCTCCTCTGCGGCGCCGAAGCTCCCCCCTCCGCCACCGCCGTCTCCGCCCGCGAATGGGCTTCCTAGTGTGTGGAAACCTTTCCTCCTTCACGGCTCCCTCCCACTGGTGCAGGTCCCATCCCTAGTCTTTTGTCTCTGTTTGTTCTTTTGCCCTACCCAGGTGGGGAGTTTCTTGCCTTTTGGGAGGTCTGAGGTCTTCGTCCAGCGTTCAGTAGGTGTTCTGTAGGAGTTGTTCCACATGTAGATGTATTTCTGATGTATTTGTGGGGAGGAAGTTGATCTACGTGTCTTACTCTTCCGCCATCTTGAAGGTCTCCTCCTTTTAGCCATTATTGTGGTTTATCTCTCCATTTACTTGGATCGTCTTTAATGTCTTTCAATGAAGTATAATTTTCTCCATAAATCATGCACATTTCTTGTATTTATTCCTAGGTACATATTTTTATTACAATTAGAGATGTTAAGTTTGTAATATATTTTCTACTGTTTATTGTGGGCATAAAGGAGGGTGCTTGATTTTTCTATGTTGCTCCTATATCCAGCAACCTTGATAAAAAGTGTTTTTAACTCAAAAGGAAGAAAAACCCACTTTATTGGGAGAAAAATTGGGCTTTACAGCATAACAATTCACAAATATGTCATACAGGAAGCCAAACATACTTTGTTCCTCTAGCATTTCTTAGTATGCACAGATTTCTGATTTTATACTTGAAAAACAGTGATGTTGTATATCTATAATAGTTGGAAGCTAGTCATACGTAGCACGTCAAACCCGTCTCTGGTTGTAAACATTTCAAGGAGTACTTTACCACCGCATTGGAAAGCTCAGAAAACAACCCACATACAAGTAGGTAAACTTCAGGCAGGTGACCTTGTTACCAGTTCTGTTTAACTGTGGACCATACATCAACTTGACCTCAACAGGCAATGAAGTGTGAGGGGCAGTGGAAGCACGTGGATTAAAACAAACAAACAAAAAACCTGGCTATCAGCCTTCACACTTGGGCAAATCAACCTCTCTTTACCTCAGTCTTCTCATTTGAAAATTCAGGATCATAATAAAACGTCGCTCACAGGATTGAAAAGATGAGATACTATATCTACATCATTTAATGCCAACCTGCACAGCCCAGATACTGTACCATGCTGTTTCTCCATGCACTTTATACGATTCCACCATGCAGTCAAGGAGAGTGTGGCAGCCGTCCTGTCCAGCCTTGGTCTTGGCCAGTTGGCATTTGGAGCCCATCATGCTGTCCCTGTCCGATTTGATTGTGCCCTACAACATATGTTTCTCCCTTGAGGACTCTGCAATTTAGATTGTTCTGGTGATAGTTTTGGCCCATAATAGCTGCAGGGAAGACTTACTGTGAAGCTAATGAAGCACAAACTTCAGACTCACTTCCCTCACTTGCACGGGCTCTTGAGAAAGACCTTAGCAATTGGTTTATTTGGTTACAAATCTTGGTAAATTTTGTAAAAAAATTTTGCAAAAGTAAGATCTATTCACTGCAATCAGTTAAGACCACTATCTCTTTCCACTCTGTTTTCCTTCTGTAAGATTTCCCCTCTGTCAGATGACATCAAAGTGGTTACAGACATTTTGTTCTTTCATGATTTTCTGTGTATATATATATATATATATATATATATATATATATACACACACACAAAAGAGGGCTTAAACCTGTATAACTTCAGATCCCAAAAAAGCTGAATCTGTCCTCCTCCCCCCACCCCCTGAATCTCTGTTAATAGCTATGTTGTTAGGTATAAGTTCACATTAAAAATATACTCTCCGAACATATTCAATTGAACAGTGAGTTCTGAGGGGCTGACCTGTCCCCTTTTGATCACTCTTATCAAATACTTACCACATACTCAATACAAAGGGTTCATTCTGTAAAATGGCATTATGCGAAGGGGGTACATAAATTCTTGTGGTGGTGAAGAGGAATATTTTCTTATTTAAGATTGTGAATTCTGACTATGGAAACCAGTCTGTGGTATCTCCCCCCAACAGAGTGTCTGGGAGTTGTGGGCGTTCATGTCTTATCTGAATTTGCCAAGGGTCAGTAATGGCTGCTCATTTTATCTCTGAAGCCCACACTGTACCAGTATATACTGACAGCTTCTTGTTCCCTAAGTAACTTCATCTTCTTCATTCATTCCCTGCCTCTCCCTGTGCCCACCTACCCCATCAGGGACCAAACGTTAGAGATTTTCTTGGATGTACAGGTAAGTCTTTTTTAAAAATATTTATTTATTTATTTGGCTGTGTAGGGTCTTAGTTGTGGCATGTGGGATCTTTTGTTGAGGTGTGCGGGCTCCAGAGCATGCAGGCTCAGTAGTTGTGGTGCGTGGGCTTAGTTGCCCTGTGGCATGTGGGATCTTAGTTCCCTGACCAGGGATCAAACCTGCGTCCCCTGCATTGGAAGGTGGATTCTTAACCACTGGACCACCAGGGAAGTCCCTGTACAGGTAAGTCTTAAAAGTCTTATTTTATAAGGAAGAAAGTGTTCAATTATAGACTCTGCTCTACTTTTGTGTCCCAAGTCGGAGCTAAGCCAATGTATCACAGACTCGAATCTCCCTGAACTCACCCCTCCCATGCTTCCCTGCCCCAACCTGCAGCCATACACTGCTGAATCCCTGGTCCCATGAGCCTTGCTTCCTCAATAGCCTCTGAAGAGGCTATTCAAGTCCCATTGGCTTGAGGCCCTTGATGTACTGGCAAACTAACACACCAGCAAGGCTAACATGTCTCGAGCCATTGACGCCCATGGAGAGCAGAGCAGGAGGGGCTGGTGGGCAGGGAGGACCCCAACACACTGCACAGGTGAGGCTCTGGGGACCTCCAGAGCCCAAAGTAAAAAGTTCCTGAAAAATTGTTGGAGAGGAGTGTGAAGCTGAGCTTGCCAGCAGTCTCAGGGAGATCACATCAACTCCTGGACTTCAGCACCTTGGCAACCACAAGTCTGTTCTCTATGTCTGTGAGTCTATTTCTGTTTCTTAGATAAGTTCATTTGTGTCACATTTTAGATTCCACATATAAGTGGTATCATATGGTATTTGTCTTTCTCTTTCTGACTTACTTCGCTTAGTATGATAATCTCTAGGACCATCCATGTTGCTGCAAATGGTGCTATTTCATTCTTTTTTATGGCTGAGTAATATTCCATTGTGTATATATACCACATCTTTATCCATTCATCCGTCGATGGGCATTTAGGTTGCTTCCATGACCTGGCTATTGTATATAGTGCTGCCATGAACATGGGGGTGCATGCATCTTTTCAAATTATAGTTTTGTCTGGGTATATGCCCAGGAGTGGGATTGCTGAATCATATGGTAATTCTATTTTTAGTTTTCTGAGGAACCTCCATACCGTTCTCCATAGTGGCTGTACCAGTTTACATTCCCACCAACAGTGTAAAAGGGTTCTTCTTTTTCCACACCCTCTCCAGCATTTGTTATTTGTAGAAGGAATTTTACACATCTTAATTCAGTAGGTGCTCACAAAATTAGTTCATTTCCAATTTTCAAATGGGGAAACTGAAACTCAGAAGCAAGGTGACTTGTTCAAAGTAAAACAGACAGGTCTTCTGACACCAAAGTACATGCTTTAGTTAAGACTTTGAGCCTTGGAATCTAACACTCAGATGAAGCTTTGCCACTTAAGAGACTTTGGGCCTGTCCTTAGTCTTTTGGAGCCTCAATTTGCTCACCTATAGAGTGGGAATAATAATAATAGTACCTACCTCATAGGGTGATTGTGTTACATGGTATCATGAATGTGTCTGGCACAGGGTTAACGTTAAATACATATTAGTTACAATATTATTATCATTATTCTGATACTTCAAACTGCTTCCCTATAAACAGACTCACTGACTGTAAAGTGTCTACCACACAGTGGACACTCAGCAAATATTTGAATATGTGGGCTAAAGAATCATTTGATTCTTATCCTAGATTAATTCCTGAATCATTTTTTCCAGCTGCAATCAGGTCATCATCTTAGTGATCAAGAACGTTATTCTGCCCTCACCCAACCCCACTCCCACCCCCATCAGCTGACTCAGCGGAGCCAGGCACCAGGAGAGGGCCGCTAACTCAGGGCAGCCAAATGAGGAAAACGCGTCTGCTTCTGGATGGAACGTGCTGGAAGTTGGACAGGTTCACCCCTTATTTACCACGCTTACAAATCAGTTGGAGAAATCCCAGATTTGTGGCAAGACAGAGGGTTTGTAAACCAGGAAGAGAAGCGAGGGCTGCCAAGCACGGACCGGCTTCCAGGGGATCAGCAGAGCTGCAGCTCCACGGACGAGATGAGGTCAATCGCTCCTTTCTCCAGGGTAATAAGTGACAGACACAGAGGCGTGTGGGCCAATGGAGATTAAGATTAGAGGGAATGTCCTTAATAAATCCCCCAATGGGAAGCAGTTTTGCTTCTTCTGTCTCTTAGGGCACTAGACCAGCCACTCACTGGGAAAACAAGTTTTGGTGCCAGAGCCTTCGGTGGGTTCCAAGGCTGCCTTTTCGGAGACAGGTACTCGAATGCTCCTGCTTTCCGCTCAGGGGTGGTTCTGGACCTACTCCACGAGTTTGGGGGGTGTGTCTAAGGGGGATCAGGTGACAGAGATTCACAGGTCACTGGACCAGAATGTACCCCCTTTGCTGGGTCACTTTTCTCTTCCCTGATAGCTGGATATTCTCAGCCACAGGTTACTTTCCCTTTCAACTTAATTTATTCGAGCTATTTTGAGAAAGTTGCTGGGAAGGGGAGGCCTTGTGAAATAGGAAAGCCGGTAAGGGGATAGGTGTCTGCTTTCTACCTCTAGGGGCCATGCACAGGACTACACTCCTCAAGCTTGCCCCCCATCCACTGGTCTGCTCCTTGCCCTGGACCCTTCCTTTCTCTTCCTTCTGCCCTGGCAATCCTGTTTCTTCTCAGCTAGCCAGCCCACTGGGGAGTAGTCAGATAAAATTATGGCTGAGGAAACTGTATACTGCTTGAGAAATGGAAATAACACACACTAAACCACTTTGGAAGACTTTACAATATCTCAGTGCCAGAGACCTTCAGAGATGGAAGTGAGCGTTGACTGCCTTTGCTGTACTCACAGTGGAGCGAACCACGCCACTCCCTCCTGAGAAAAGATGAATTTTACGTGCAGGTGGCCGTGTTTTGTACCACATGACCTGATGCCCTGGCTATTGCTGACTGGACAAGGAAGGGCACCTGTGCCAAGGGCAGATTTATAGGCTCTGTCAGCCCAACAAGCTGGGCTGGGGATAGAGCTTTGTGTAATAGGGCTGGTGACAACCGGTTGGACTAATTGCATTTTCTCTCTCTGGAGTTTCCACCTGAGACCTATTAGGGGAAGTTAGCTGGAACCAGAAGTGGAAAGATAAGCAGGGAAGCATGGGGGGACACGGGAGCTGACAGTGGAGAGGGCTCAGTGGACTCCTGGTGCTCAGAGGTGAGGCGGTGGGAGAGTGTTGAATCCTCATCAACCCTCTGGTTTCCACCCTGGGTGCCGGTCTCAGGATGCCCAGCCCAGACCCCTGGATGTCTGTCTCCTGCATTTCCATATGGACTCTCAGAAGAAGCCCCCTTTACAAGACAACTTCAGTGCATCTCTGTTATTTACCACCCACAGGATCTAATAAAGAATTCACCTGGCCTGGTTTACAGATGAGGGAGTGGAGGCGAGGAGACCATGGCTAGCTCCCCAGGTTACGGAATCAGAACTGGAGTCCACGAAGGAATCCAGGCTCCTTACCTGGAAAGCCTGCTCTCAGAGGATGGGGTTTCAGGACAGAGGTTTTTGTGGGAGGAGCGGGTTTCCAGTTAGAGTGAAGAGGAGAGATGCTGAGTTCTGTTGTTCAGACTTTGTGTCACATTGTTATAATTAAAAAGCAGTTTGTAAACAGTAACAGCTGAGTTCTAAATTGCCCCAGGGCCTGGGTCGTGCCCTCTCCGTGGCTGCTCTTCAGGAGGTTTCTGGGAGCAGATGCAGCAGCTCTGCTGCTCTTGTCCACCTCACTTATTTCACCAACCTTCCCTAGGCTGTGTCCACAGGGAAAAGGGTTTAGGAATGAGTAGAAATCCACCCCCAAGGGCAGACTTACTCAGCTGTCCTTTGTTCTAAAGGCAACTCCAGGCAGGTTTGGGACTAATGTCTAAACTCCATGGAGACCTTGTTGTCCGTACCCTGACATTTAATGGAAAGAGGGCTTACAGGGAGCTCTCTTTATCCCATGAGAAATGCCGGCAAGAAAGGTCGTATTTGGAGAGGCTGTGGACCTAAGGAAAGAACCTTCAGGGCCAAGCTTTGTACTGGACGGATTAACTCTTGAAACAAGGTTTGTAGCTCACACTGTGCCTCCTCACAGGCCCATGGGTACAGTACGGATTGCAACTGTGGGAGCTGGTGTGATGGGACTCTCCACTGCTGTGTGCATTTCCCAACTAGTCCCGCGATGCTCCATTACAGTCATTTCAGAGCAGTTCACTCCCGAGACCACGAGTGATGTGGCAGCCGGAATGCTTATTCCTCCTGTTTATCCAGGTGAGAAAGAGATTTCTGCTCCTCTGTCAGATATGATGGACGTTAGATAGAATGACGTTGGTGGAATTCTGTTGACAAAGACAGCTGGATGTTCACATAAGTGTAATGTGCACTTTTGACATCTTGTTGGTTCATCTGTTAGGAAAGGCTCAGTTATGCAGCAAGACAGAAAGAACCTTCAAATCTTAGCAGCTTAAAAAGCAAAGGTTTATTTCTTGCTCATGCTGTACGTTGACTGAGCATCAGCAAGGGTTCTGTTCATCACTCAGGGGTCTAAGCTGCTGAAGCAGCCAGAGCCTTGAATGTGGTCAGTACCTGTAGCTGGGGATTGAGAGCTCTGAGGGGTCTTGCCTTAGCAATTAAAGGTTCATGGCCAGGAAGCAACATTCATCACTTCTGGTGACAGCTCATTGGCTAGTGCTAGTCACATGCTCCCACCCTTCAGAAGGAGGCCAGGAAGTGCAATTCTATAAGGCTCCCAGAAGGTAGACAGCCAGAGTATTTGGTAAACAGCACCAATGGCTACCACAGTTGGTAACTGGTAACTCGAAGTCTTTCTACTGATACCAGTAGTGACCGTCAAGTCAGAAAATACTTGTAATGGGACTAACATTATCCTCACTTCTAAGCCAGTTTAAAAACAATCAGTCAATATGTATTCAGGACTAAAAATGCATTGATTTTTTTAAAAAATTAATTAATTAGTTTATTTATTTATTTTTGGCTGCGTTGGGTCTTCGTTGCTGTGTGTGGGCTTTCTCTAGTTGCCACCAGCGGGGGCTACTCTTCGTTGCATTGTGCAGGCTTCTCATTGCGGTGGCTTCTCTTGTTGCGGAGCACGGGCTCCAGGTGCCCAGGCTTCAGTAATTGTGGCACATGGGCTCAGTAGTTGTGGGTCGAGGGCTCTAGAGTGCAGGCTCAGTAGTTGTGGCACGTGGGCTCAGTAGTTGTGGGTCGAGGGTTCTAGAGTGCAGTCTCAGTAGTTGTGGTGCACGGGCTTAGTTGCTCTGTGGCATGTGGGATCTTCCCAGACCAGGGCTTGAACCTGTGTCCCCTGCACTGGCAGGCGGATTCTTAACCACTGCACCACCAGGGAAGTCCCAATGCATTGATTTTTAAAAACACTTCCACGCGTCCTTTCCATTCTGTATTTGTCTTACGAAATGGGAAGAGGAGGAAAAAGCATTAAATAGGAAACAAAATCACTTTGCAGCTAATGAAGTTTATACTCAGTGTCTTCACTTCCTCATTTCCACTCTCCTTTCTCCCCTTTAATTTTAGTTTTTATTTTTGTATCAAAGTTATACATGGACATAGTTTAAGCAGTCAAATGATTATGTTATTACAAAAAAACAGCAATCTGGACTTTGAAAATTGCCCTGCCCATTTAATCTGGAAACTCATGTCTCCAGTTCAAGATACAATCTCTGAGTTACCCAACTGCCGATTCCTCCCTCCTGCTGTCTCTGCCTTTCTGTCCAGAATTGCTGTTTTGCTGGGCTTCCTGGACGAGTCCTCCCATTGGCTCAATTTTTTCCCCTTCCTATTTCTATCTTTTTCTCCTTCTATTTTACTTTATGGGAGATTTTCTCAATTTTTTTTTTGCCTTGCTGTTGGATTTATTATTTCTACCGTAGCATTTTTAATATTCCAAAGATCATTTTTATTCTCTGAATTTCCCTTTGTTATACTATGTTCTGTGGTTGCAATGTCTTACCTTTTTGAAGACACTAGTAATAGTTTTAAAAGTTTTTCCTCCCTGCATAGCTTCTGTTGTCTCCAAGTTGTGTTTTTTTTATTTGATGTGCTCATTTTTCATGTTACAGGTTTTCCTTGGCCATGTGGTCTGGTCATCTTTACCTGTCTGTTGACCTTTAAGAACAGGATCCTAAACAGCTGATGGGAGTTTCTGGGTCCTTGCGTAGGGCTTGTTGCCTTGAGGCTCACTGGAGTGAGATGGGAGTGCTGTTTGGTTGGAGAACCTCTGATGTCATTACATTTAAGTCTTTCTTCTTGGGCAAGTCATGTTTCCCAGAGAAGAGGCTTCCAGTCCCCTGGCTGGGGTGGGTGAAGGCCTGGCTGGCAGCATTCTAGGAGGGGGAGAAGAGGTCTGAGGTCTTAGCATGTGGTTTGCACATGTTTCCTTAACGCTCTTGTTTTCACTAGGGTATTCCTGCCTTTGCCTGCACTTGGTGTTTTCCTAGTCCAGAGACACCCCCTGCTTCACCTAACAGAGGATAAACCCATTTTCGGCCAGGGTGGGGAGGGCAGTGGCCTCACTATTGCAGTCCAGGAACTTGGCTTTGTCAGCACCCGTGATGCTAATGTACCTCTTGGGAGCTGCCTTGCAGGAAACAAGCACAGGAGCCTGGTGTGTTTGCAGAATGCTAGTTCACACTGGACACCTTTCTTGTGACCAGAGTCCTTGTGTCCATCTCCCAGACATCCCCTTGTATGCATCAGGCCCAGGTGAATAGTGAGAAGGCTGCCTGATAGTCATGGAATCATCTTCAAATAAGGAGGCTCACCTGAGAGTTCATTCAGGCCACTGAGGCCCAGCTCACCCTTTGGCTCGGTGATTGGGGCCCCTGGATCAGGGTCTTTCTCTCTGGTGCTGCTAGATAGACTTTGGTTTTCTCTCTGGGCTTCTTTCAGACCAGCCCCAGTGATGAAAATCTTCTGTGCCCATAAATGTCAGTACCATATGGGGACCGTACTGTCCCATAGGTTTGTTGTGAGGATTAAATGAGTTAATACATGTAAAGCATTTAGAACAGTGCCTGGACATAGTAAGTGCTGTGTCAGCCCTTGCTATTGTTATCACCGCTACTCTGGCTACAGTTTTCTTTTACCAGCACTTGAACATGAATTAGGTCCCAGGCTTGCTTTACCCACTGTTGAACTGGAATTGTCTATTCTTTTGGGGTGACTTTTGCAGTGTGTGAATAGCAGTCACTATTTTATTTTTTAAGGTTTGGAGTGGGAAGGGGGGTGTGCATTTCAATACAGCCTCGTACACTGCCTTAGATTGCTGGGGTATAATCCATATGAGGTCTAATTTAGTTCTTTGCAGTTTATTATTTATTTCCTCCTTATTTTTAAACCAGTAGATCCAGTCTGCAATTTTGGGAGTGTTGAGTTCACAGGGGCATATGTTTGAAGACAACAGCACAGATCCACTACTAAAGAAATATTTATTGGCTCCTGAACAAGTGAATTGCTTTAAAACCTGCCACTGAAATGCTCTCATTCACCTGGAAGCAGGATGCCTCCAGGGGCTTTTCATCTCTACCTGAGCTCTAGGGACATCTCTCCAAGCAAAGCTGACCCAGTATCCTCTCTGCTCAGTTCCCCCATCTCCTCTGTGTCTCCCCCTATAGCAGCCCCTCAGGATTACTGTTCCCCAGTCCCTGGCCTGACCCTGAACTCTTTCTCATGACCTTCCCACAGGGATCAGATGGCCAAATACTTCATCCACAGTTGGATTTGTCAGTGCTTCTGTGTCATGCTTGCTCTCTGTGCCTACACTGGACACTATTATTTTGGGGCTTGAACCCTGACCCGTATTTTCTCCCTGGCAGGCCTGGAACCCTTCCAGAGCTATGTCCAGATCCAATCTCCTGTACACAGGCAGGGATGCCTGGGGGATAGGGGGCACTGTTCCACAGGACTCTGACAGAGAGGTGTAGTCCCTGCACACCCCTGGTGACCCCAGGAATGCTACTCCAAGCTGGTCTATGATTCCATGGAATGGAGGGGAATGGAGGTAATGGCAGCCTTGGATGGGGCTGTAGGGAGCTCAATTCCACAATGCAGGCCTTGTTTCCTTGTATCAGAAGGGTGAGCAACCTTGGCTTCCCACTGATGTTCAGTCTGTTCTTCAACCTGGTTGATCTGGGCCCCACAGATCTCCCCTTATCTCCTGCCATGTTTTCAGCCCTCAGGAAAGAGGCCCTGGGTTCTTTCTCCTATCATCTCGACTGTGTGGCCAGTTGGATGCCTCAGCCAGATTGGCTAACTTGGCTCAGATTGGTTATGGACCTTTCAAGGACCTCTGAAATATGCCTAGTGCCAAAGGCCAATACGCCCTTTCCAGCTGGCCCATATGTTAGATTTTTTCCCTCATCGGTTGATTTCCCCTCTGTTGATTAATAATTATATGAACCGACCCTGACAGCAAGTGTCAACATTCAAAACTCTGGTGGCTGACTGATCCTCCGCCACACTGTGGTACTTTATCTAAATGTTCCTCCCTGCCTCTTTAGTTTTTCCCAGTTTGTAGGAAGGAGCTTCTGTGAAGATAGTCATTGTCATTATTTTCCTTTCTGTTCTGCTTTGCTTTTCTCCACCATCACAGACACACCCATTCACAAGCAGAAGCAGTGGTTTAAAGAGACCTTTGATCACCTGTTTGCAATTGCCAATTCTGCAGAAGCTGAAGATGCTGGTGTTCTCCTGGTGTCTGGGTAAGGGAGGAAATCTGAAGTTATTTTAGAATTTAGAGTGATCTTAACAGACTTTAGAGTTCAACAGAAAATATTACTGAGTACCTGCTATGAGCAGAGTGCTGAACTAGATGTAGGAGGATTTGGAAGAACATTTTAGGCTTCACTCCAAAGAACTCAAGAAAGACAAGTTATAGCATTAGACTTTTAAACAATAAACAACCATTATAGTTTCTCATCACAAATGCTATTTTGAGTTTCCTCAGGGAATATGCAGTGATTTACAAATATGGCTAAAAAAATATATAGCAGGTAAACACTGAGTTTGGGTTCTATGGGGCTGATGGGGGCTGATGGAAAGCAAAGAGGTGTGATTGATATGGGAATGGGTGCAGAGGCCCAAGGCACAGGCACATCTTTCTTATTTGGTGTCTGTGGAGAATGAAGTGTTCCAAAAAAGCAACTATTATAGGTCACTAAAGTTACCTTTTAAAGTGTCATTTGGGAAAAAATATTTCTGAAATGGTTAGCAAGCTTCCTTTGATTTTTCACATCCAATTTCCGAAGAAATGCAAAATTAAATAAAAGAGTTTAAAATATTAAACATTTCTAACACAAACTGGCACTTAAAATATGACAATACCTTTCTATATCTTCTCAGACAGAAATCACTAACCATACTGTCACTTCTAAGTTACGACATAACACATACATTGTCTGTGTTATTCTATGTGATAACACAACTATGCCCTACAGCCTTCTGAAGAACAGAGGGATGTCTGCCCTTTACTAAGTTCTCAAAACCACTGCATCTTTTGTGCTGTTTTAAAAAAAAATGTCCTGTCTCCTCTTTTGAGTTCAGGCTGTCTGCTGACATTTTCTGCTGGTGAACGTACCTGCATCAGGCAGATTTCTACTCTATTCCTCTTCTTGCTCTCCCTCACCATCACAAACACCAAACGCTATTGATATCACTAATTTCTCAAAGTCCCTACCCAAAGGAGCAGCTTTACTTCTCTACCTTCTGAAGATGGATTGAAACTGTAACTGTCTCCAGAGCCAGTTGATAAGTCACATAGAAACATCGTTGTCATTGATTTATGGTCACACTTTCTTTTTGTCCAAACCCAGCACGACCCAGTCTAATTCACAAACATCAGCTCTCAGTAGTTTTTGGAAACAGTTGTGTCCAAGATTCAAATGTCCTTTCAAGAGCAAGACTTTGCCACTATTGAGGATATTAAAAGGAATGTACTTTAAGCCATTCTAAAAAAGAGTTATTTATTTTCCTCATATGAATGATTTTTATCCCACTTGCTTCCAAAAAGTATTTGAATCAGTCAAGTGAAGATAAGGGCACAAATGTCCTATGCACCTTGGCATAAGTATAAACTTTATTCATCTATTTATTCCTTCAAAACAATTTACTCAGCATTCACCAGTATCAGGAACTCTTCTAGGAATTAGGGAAATAGAAATGAGCAACTTAGTACATATTGCTTGGCATATAGTAGATGCTCAATAAATATGTGTTGAGTGACTTTTTAGGAAAGACAGACATGGTCCTGCCCTCATGTAGCTTATGTTCTGTAGGGAATGTCCTAAATCTAATGAGTTACATATGAGACATGAGTCACCAAGGGAAGAGTACAGGGTGCTATGGAAGCATTTATCTGGAGAATAAACTTGCTCTGGTAAGTTATGAGAAACCACTCAGAAAAAAAGTGATGTTTCAGTGGAGACCATCCACATGAGTATAGGTTAGTCTGCTGACCCTGTAGAGGTGAAGGGGACAGAGATAGGGTCCAGGGCAGAGGAGGCAGCATTCAGGGAGAAGCAATAGTACATGCATAGACCTGAATCTAGGGTGACTCTGGTGTGTTGGAGGGACTGAAAAACGCCTAGGGTAATGGAAAGCCATTGAGGGATTTACACAGTGAAGTAACTGATCATATTTGCAGTTCAAAAACATTCTGTCTGCAGTGTGGAGAACAGATTTGTGGAAAAAGAGATGATGGTGGGATAGATTAGGTGTTGATAGTGGGCATAGAGAACAGATGGATTTGAGAAATGCTTATGAGGAGATTAGATGGGACTTGATAATTGATGGCATGTAGGGGGTGAGAGAGGAGAGAAGGTCAAGGATGATTCTCTGGTTTCTGGAGTTAGCACCTGGGTGGATGGGGAAAGGGGGAGGGAAAGAGCAGTGGGCATGGGGTAAATGTCTGAGACATGGGGGTAGACTTCTCCAGTAGAGAGTAGGCAACATGGGTCTGGATCTGGTTTTGGAGCTCAGGAGAGAGAAGAGGAGATGTAGTCTTCTGAGTGTTTGGCCTATAGTATGATGGTGAAGACAGGGAAGAGGACAATCTAGCCCAGGGAGAGTGTGCAGCATGAGACAGCAAGAGGGCCTGTTGTAGAGACCTGCAGCAAACAACATTTATACCTTCCACAGGAACCGTATAGAATGAATTACTTAGAGATATAAATTCCAGTACATTAATTACCATAGCATTAGCAACCATGTATAGCACTCAGATGATTTCCCTTGCTACTTTAGAGCAGCCATGCTTTACAACATTTATTCCTATTGATGTAAAGAGCCCGATACTGATAAATCCAAACATATGCCTAGCACCTATTGATAGCAAAGTTATAGGCTTCTTGTTAACAACTAATATCTTTCTAGCCTCATCAGCCCCAGCCATGACTGAACGATAACAGGGCTTGTCCTGACAACTCCTGGCTTCTCTTATCAAGAACGTAACGTGATGATCTACAACTTAATTCATAATTCGCAGCCCTGTCTCCTGCACCACCACCGTTGCTTCTTCTAACTTAGATATTTTGTTCAGAATTGAGGCCAACCGTTAAACTTTTGATGGTTTACTTACACTTTATGTAAAGCATTATGCAAAACAGGAAAATCTTTCCTCAAAAATGCATCATCATAAGTAAATAAAGAAAATCTGGGCAAGAGCTTTTTAGAAAAAGAGAGTTAAATTCAATCTTTAAAAGGCACACAACTTTTTAAATGTCTTATTCCAATGCCGCACCCCCCACCCCCGCCATGAACATTTTAAATTTAGCTACTGAGTTATCTGAACCTGAGAGAATTGAAGAATAATTTCTTTCTCTGTATGGGTATAAGAAGTGTGTTTTAAAAATGCTTTAGAGAATGTACATGGAGTTCACTAGAAATTTCATAGAACTTCAGGAAATTTTTCCACTTAATGTGTTTGAGTTGGCAGATATTTCGGAGCATTCCTACTGAGGAAGTGCCATTCTGGGCTGATGTGGTGCTGGGATTTCGAAAGATGACTGAGGATGAGCTGAAGAAATTCCCCCAACATGTGTTCGGTCAGGCTTTTACTACACTCAAATGTGAAGGCCCTGCCTACCTCCCGTGGTTGGAGAAAAGGTCAGTTGAAGTGGCTCTTTGCTGCTTTCTTTGTCTGTCACACCCATAAATAACTTCATAGCTTCTCTGTGGCTCCTCAGAGCTCTTGTACACTGTGTCTTGCTGTTCATTAATGGCTAGGGCTTTGTACAACATTCTGAAGACACTGTGTCACAAGGAGTGAGTCACATCCAAGTTAGTAACACGTCCATCTTCTGCTTCACTGTGCACCTTGATGCACGATTTGGTCCTTCTGTCCGCACCAGTAAGACCCCCTCGTTGAAACAGTATCTTACTTTGCTCATCCGTAAACTGAGATGTTTGGAGAATATGCTTCCAGCTGTAAAATGATATGATTTACTCTAGCTCTTTCGAGAATCTTAGGCTTATTATAAGTTATTTTTGAATTTTTTTCTCATTAGTGAAAAAGAAAATAACCCCATTATTTTATTTTGTTATGAGCAAGAGCTTTAAAAGTGAGGGCTTATCTAAATTAGGTAATTGCTTCCTTACCAAGTTCAGCCCCAAATTTCATGAACTTGCATTTTGGCTTGGTTTTCAGGACTTTCTGTTTCCAGTTGGTTAGGAAACACATCAAGGGTATTTTTATTTAAGACACATCAATAAATCTCTCTTTAGTTTCATCTTGAAATTGCAAGCATGTTGAAGGTTGTGAAACTTTGGCCCTTTCAATCCCCAAGTCTGTATATTTGGTAGATGAATAGGAACAATGCAAATTATTGGGTAAAAGTTGGAAAAGTGACTTCAGGTAAGCAGTGGCAGCAATGGCTTGGTCCCAGATGTAGGAGATAAGATAATTAATTGGAATAATTAATTAATTCCACAATTCTTCGTTGAACTTCTATGTATACCTAGCACTGTGCTAGAAGCTAGTCAAAAATGAAGGATAAAATATGATCAATTTTCTTAAGGAATTCATAGTCTATTTGGGGATGATGGTGTATATATGTGTGTGCACATTGATATACATGTTAATTAACAATTAACAGTAACACATGTGATGAGGGTTAAATACAAATTTATGAAGGTGGATTGGGAGTGCAGAGGAAGGAACCTAAGTCTGTTAGGCACATGCCGGGAGCACCATGATATATTTTTGTAGCTTTATAAGTGCTCTTTTCACTTTTATCTCTTAGCAATTTATATGGGACTTTTTTCTTCCTAAAGTGCCAGTTTCATAAAACCTACACTTTTGTGCCTTGTCGCTGGCCCATAAACCCCTGTTTGTATGCTAAATTTAAACCACTGTATATCAGCTGATAAATGAACATTTGAGCCGTCGTGTGATGGAGTTACCCATCAGCCAACATTCCAGTTTCAGGGCATCACCATCTTTTCTGAGTGGCAAGGTTGTGTGGTGTTGCATTTTTGTCTTTATATTATAAAAATGCCTGGAAAAAGAACATTGGAATTGCTAATGCTATTGATACGTAGTTGAGGTATCGTATATCTTAATAAAATTCAGATAAGGGGAAATTATTAGGCAAGCAATAAGTGGCAGAGCTCTGCTGTAAATATATACATATTTATTTTGGGCCACCCTCAGCCAGTTTCACACGAGAATATATATTACCTGAACAATTTGTTCAAGTATCACCTTCTAGAAAACAGGCCCCTTATTTCCATAATAACCTTATTTTCGAGCCTAATCTCTAATTGTGGGATGAAGGCCTGGGAAAAGTCTTGATTTTCTCTCATTAGTTGGAAGCCTGCTGTCAGCGTTTTACTTTACTTAAAATAACCCTGAGTGAGTGGTACTTTGTGCCAGTGGGAGCCACCTCCCGAGTGCAACACCATCGGGCCTGGTGACCAGCCAGCTGGAGTCGTGCCTTGGAGCATGCTGCTTCCTGTCTGTTTTTAGGTGACAGAGTCAAGGAGAAGAGGTCTGAGGGGCTGCTCTTGTCCCCATAGAATCCCGGGGAGGACTTTTTAGGTCCATTTGTTTGATATACATGTCCACCATGACAGTGGGTGGGGACATGTGTGCCTCAGACAGACAGTACACACAGTACACACTGTTGCAGGGAAGCCACGAGGAGACCCTCGTCCTAGCTGTCCCACCCCCGCCCCACCTCCTGCTTTGGTACCCCATAGGTCCCTGATACTTCATGCTTCCTCTTAACCCCCAGTGAGGGGCCTGCACAGACAGTATGCAGGGGCCTCCTCTCTGTAAGATTGGTCAGCCCCCCTTCCCTCAGGCCCTGGCACCTGACCAGAAGGCCAATGTGGGGGAGGAAGAGGGTCACCCGTTCCCTTTACTTCTGAGGAAGGCTTTGTAGGTCTGGGACTCCTTTAAGCCCAAGGCAACCCTCTCAGAGCAAGGACTTCAGGCCAGGTGGGAGGCCAGGCAGCATGCTGGTGAGAGCGTGGGACCCCTGGGGCTCCCTCTGTAGGCTGCCACCCACTTTCCACCTCGGATGACCCAGCTGGGGAGCCATACAATCCCTGCTTGTTCCTCACACCCAGGGTCTGTTATGTTGCCTCCTACTCCCCTTCTACACAATGTGAGTGTTCAGCCTGCAGCGTTCTGACTCAAAAACAGGCATTTTACTTAGCAAGCCGCATAACAATGCCTTCAATTTAAGCTCTATCCTTCTGAAATAATATTAATTTCCAGGAAAGAAAAAAAAAGTTTATAACCACAAAGTAGATCGTTAGCATTTTTCAAAGAACAGAAGGAATCATCTGCTTCTCAAAAAAAAAAAAAAAAAAATCCAGTAATACCCAGAACCAACAAATAAACAAACCCCTGAGGGTTAATCAGCCATGCAGATCAGGTTTGATATCTTTGGCCAGTGGAGTTATATTCTGCTGCTTCGTACTTGCCCTTCCAGGAAATGAATCACAGAGGCAATAAGTCAACTGAGCCTGTCTCTTCATCAGGCATCCTACCTAAATAAATCATCTCGGCTGGAGCAGGATGGTCCTGCCTTGGGAGACATTCAGAAAGCGGCGTGCCCCATTTTGGTGCTGGGGGCCCTGTAACGTTGGTGCGTTGCCTTCTTTCCAGCAGGCCATGCCTTATTCTGTGGCCCTGATAAGGGCCCTGCACTGAGCACAGCACTAACCACACTGAGCTTCTCTCCCTGCACTTTCCTTCCCACTCATCTAATGAGTCCTCTCTGTTACTTTCCCTGCAGGGTCCCAGACTCTTGTCTCCTATAGCTTCTGTTCTCCTACTTGGCCTGACTCACAGCAGTGCCTATGCCACTCCCTTGACAGTTGGACAGAAATACGGATTGTACATCAGGCATGTGACAGGTCATCCCTGCCTAACAAATGTCCAACTTGCAAAGGTCCCTTCCTGTGCACAGTAGACCCCTGCTCCCCCATGCCCAACACACCCCGTGCCCACCAGAGCACAGCCTTCCTTTTCCAGGCCCCTAGAGAGTTCCTCCTACTCCCAGCATTGGCCCCTGGCCCTTAACCAGAGGAGCCATGGGCAAAAGTTGGCCTTAGACACAGGTCTAATATGAACGCCCCACTTTCTTCCTGGTTACGCAAGGATGAGGCAGGAGGGCACCAGCCAGGAAAGTGGAAAATGATGGTGTTTATTTTTTTTTCCAATTTATTTATTTATTTATTTTTGGCTGTGTTGGGTCTTCGTTGCTGCGCCTGGGCTTTCTCTAGTTGCAGCGAGTGGGGGCTACTCTTCGTTGTGGTGTGCGGGCTTCTCATTGCGGTGGCTTCTCTTGCTGCTGAGCACGGGCTGTAGGCGCACAGTCTTCAGTAGTTGTGGCTCGCGGGCTCTAGAGCACAGGCTCAGTAGTTGTGATGCATGGGCTTAGCTGCTCCACAGCACGTGGGATCTTCCTGGACCAGGGCTCGAACCCGTGTTCCCTGCATTGGCAGGCAGATTTTTAACCACTGGACCACCAGGGAAGTCCTATTTTTTCTGAGGATGGCAACAAGTTTAGTAGGGAATAGATGGAGGCTGGCTGTGGTGCAATGGCCTTGGGGGCTTCCACTGGGGCTCCAATTGCTGCCCTAAGGCAGTGGAAGAGGGGAACCCCACCTGCTGGACTGACTAAGGGTGCACGGCTGCTCCCCTCTGGACCACTCTGCCCATAGAAACCCCAGGCCTCATCTACACCTCCTCCCCAAAGGGAACAGAAGCTGTTCCGCGACTGAACAGGGCTTAGACCGATTAATATAAGTTCATGCAGTGGACAAGGCAGAGATGGATCTTCTGAGAAGTGGGAAATAGAATGCAGTTTATTTTATTAGAACATGCATTGCAGCAGAATGAGTGAGCAGTATGGTCATCAGATGAGGTTAAAATTATCATGTTAAAATTATATGGCGAGAGAGACAGAGAGAGACAGAGAGAGACAGAGAGATTTAGTTGCTTTGTAAACCTAAAATGCATTTAAAAAATTCTAACTATGATATTTTAAGTATAGCTACATTAAGTGTCACTAGGAATAAACTGGATTTTCCCCCTGAATCTATATGCATAGCATTATTTGCCAACTGAGATTTTCAGTTAGTTTTCTTCTCTTTCTCCTTTTCTTCAGACAAATGGACTAAAAATTGTTAATTTTCTGATTGCTGTTAATAAAATACCCTGCTTCAGGTTTGAAGCAAGGATGCCAATGTGGTGCCACTCTCTATCTTTTAGGGTTCTCTAGAGAAACAGAACCAATAGAAAAAAAATATATATATATAAAGAGATTTAATATAAGGAATTGGTTCACACAATTATGGAGGCTGATATGTCCTAGGATCTGCACAGTGAGCTGGCAAGCTGGAGACCTAGGAGAGCCAAGGCTGTAATTCCAGTCTGAAGGCTGGCAAACTTCAGACCCAGGAAGAGCGAATGTTTTAGTCTGAGTCTGAAGACAGGAAAAAGCTGATATCCTAGTTTGAAGGCAGTCTTGCAGGAGGAAGGTCAGCCTTTTTGTTCTGTTCAGGCCTTCAACCAGTTGGATGAGACCCATGTGAAGGAGGGCAATCTACTTTACTCAGTCTACCAATTTATGTGTTTATTGCATCCAAAAATACCCTCACAGAAACACCCAGAAGAATGTTTGGCTAAATATCTGGGTACCCCATGGCCCAGTCAAGCCAAAACATAGAGTTAATCATCATATACCCAAACTAGGATTTCATATTGTCTTCAGTATTGGCCAACACTCATGTCAAGTCCACTAGGTTTTGGGCATTGAGCTGGGTCATAGGTGTAGTGAGAAGCATAAGACATAGTCTCTCCCTTTGAGAAATTTATAGTTTATTGATATCAGTCCCCTAGAATTTGTTGTGCTCACGTCTTATGAAGCACTGTCATGCCTATTATTTCACTTGAACTTGAACTTCACAGCCATCTCTGAAGCAGGCAAGGGAGGTGTCATCCCCATAACACAGATGAGGAAACTGAGGGTCAGAGACAAGAGGTGAGTTGGCCAAGACCTCAAAGCTAAACTAATGTGAGGCAACTGGGACCTAAACCCATGCTTTCCAATTCTACATCCACCTCTCATTTGGAACTTACTTCATTCTGCCAAGTATTTACACTCTTGTCTCCCAACTCCTTTGTCAGTCCTGAGGAAGGGCACTTTGCCTCTAAGCAGTACCTTGCACACAGGCATTCAACCTGCACCCTGGTGTAGAGAGCTGCCAATAGTCTTTTTCTCATATTACGTCTCCTATATTCTACAAGTGACCTATGAATAAGATGATAGGACCTGGAGTTATTGTTTAATAGGTACATAGTTTCATTTTGCAAAAGGTGAAAAAGTTCTGGAGTTGGACGATGATGGTGGTTGCACAACAATGTGAATGTATTAAACTTAATGCCATTGAACTGTACACTTAAAAATGGTCAAAATGATGAATTTTGTGTTATGCGTATTTTACTACTATTAAAAAATAAGATTACAGAACTTGGATAAACCATTTCTTTTCATTCTTGATGTACTTGGTCCAAAAAATCATTAGCAACCACAACTGTTATTTAGTCCATCAGCTGCAAATATTTTGTGTCCCTCTTATGCTAGCATCCCTGTGGTAGACATAAGGAGGAGCGCATGTGAGCCCTGTCCCAACCGTCTGGTTAGGGAGAACAGAGTGGTACACAGGAACATGCAAGAGTTAACAACATGAGACAGAACGTCCAAGGCAGTAAATTTTTTTCTTTTTTTTTTTTTTGCAGTACGCGGGCCTCTCACTGTTGTGGCCTCTCCCGTTGCGGAGCACAGGCTCCGGACACGCAGGCTCAGCTG